TGAAGAGCGGCACCCCACGTGATGAAAATTTTGATGAAGTGCGCCGTGGGCAAAGAGTCTCTTTTTTGGCCGCTCCCTGTACAGTTGTCGATTCATTTTTATATTTTGATTTTTTTTAGTTTCCGGTACTCTTCTAAGAAACGCAGTGGATCAAATATCAGTTCGAGCGACACGAAACGAAAAGAGTCGCTATCATGTAAGTAGACCGATGGAACATCAGTTTTTTCGACCGTAAAATGAACTCAGCTCAGAAGGCATGCTTCATAGCGTCACCATACTTTTCAAAGCGAGTTCAGAACATAACTTTCCATAGGCACCGCTTCGGCAATCAATTTAAACGCAAAAAATTCTGAGAGCATGAGAGTTACCGTTCTGCAAGTCGATGCGACAATGTGGTTAGCAATGGTGTACAATACGATGACTTTTACGAGCAGTTAGCTAAACTTGTAGGCAGTCAAGACATTAGCTGCGTTGTAGCACTGGGTGATTTCAACGCCAAGATCGGAACATAGACACTTGACGAGGTTTCTGATGGTCCACACTCTGCAGAGGCTCACGTCGAAGCCGGACCCAAATTAGCGAATACCTGTGAAATTCACAATTCTTCAACGGCAATGAGCAATCTCTCAAACCTCCATTCGAAAATGAGTGAAGCTCCAGTTCGAGGGGGCCTCATCATCTTATCCGTAGTAGTGGGAAGCACTCCTTTGGGCTTCAGTACTATGGATAAGGTAATAGGTACACGGCTCATTCCAAGTGCATTTCTGATAAGGTCCGACGTAAGCAAACCAACCCTTTTGGCGCGTCGGCTGGGACCGTATGCTGAATGTTGGGGAGGAGATGGAGTCCCCGACGGTGGACGGACCACTTCAACACGGTCCATAGAACCGCCACAGTTTGGTGCCTACCTCAGGACTAAGCCTTAAAGAGAGGACGGGTCCGTTCCCTTTCCAAGGCTTAGTCCTGGGGTAGGCAAACCAGCCCTTCTGGCGGAGCTGCTGAACCAGCTGCTGCGTCAGTACTCTCCTATCGTACCAACCGATTTGAAGTAAATCGTCGACCGTTGGGAATCCCATCCCCTCCCCAACATTCAGCATACGGTCCCAGCCGAAACGCCAAAAGGGCTGGTTTGCTACCTCATAAGGTCCTGTGTATGCCCTACATCGCGCACATTCTGCTCACATCCTGCGCAATTTATGACATGTGGGTCGTCCACTCTGGGCTCCTACACCATGGGGTTCAGGGAGGGATGTCCATATCCTAGTCTAGGACCCATTAGTTCGAAAACAGCAGACCGACATCTAAAAGCACCTTAGTAGTACTCCCACACTACACCGGTCCTTAATGCAAGTAATTACAAATGAGTCGATTACATGACATGAACACTCTTATACTTATCCTCAGTATATTTGGCCACATGCGAAGGATGCGGTCAGAAGTACGTTGGTGAAACAAAGCGTCTGTTACCTAAATGGATGGATGAACATACACAAGCGCTACGGAATCCTCTTCTTATCCAAGAAGTGCGTTTTGGCGACATCGCTTACTGTATCATCGACAGGAAGCACCCTCACCCTAAATGTTGCCATATTACACGGCACAAAGGATGCCCCATCAGAGAGAAAGCTGCTTGAAGTACTTGCTATTAAACGTTTATCCCCTGAAATGAACAACAGGGAGGCACTGAGATTAATATCTTAGCGAGGAAGAATTCCTCGTATTAATCACGCACATCGCATTTATAGTAATTTTTAATTGCTTGGGAGTGGTGTCGGGGTAAGCTGTTTTGTTTATTTGTGTTGTTAACAGTATTTACTTCTGTATATAGTGTATTGCAGAATTTAACGACATACTGTCACCAATCGGGTGTGCCTTCACGAGTTAATGCTTCTAGGAATTGTAGTGTGATAGATGTTGTTTACTTGAGTTGTAATTTTAAGATGTAAAGAAGCTGTTAATACAGCAAAGGCTTGCCAATAAATATGAATGAGTCCTCAGTACTACTGAAGAATATCTTATTCTCAGTATTGATGAGCACACTGGAGTCTCCCCCCCCCCTTCGTCGAACTGAAATTTCACCCGAAAAATGGAATACGTACCTCCAAACGGGCAATATTGTCGTGAGCTTGATCACATTCTGTGCAATCGAAGAGTCATGACAGATGTAGCATAGGTCCCTTCATTCAATACATGGAGGGACTATCGACTGTTGAGGAGACGGTTCAGCTTCGACCGTGGGTTTGTACGCCTCATTCGCATACGTTCAAGACTGCCACGCCCCACCTTTCCAGATGGAAGTGCAGTCAAAACGCTCACAAATAGAGTGTTCTGAAATGATTGGTGACGTCAACGACACTACGAAAAACTCATAAAAACGGTTTCAAGGATAACAGAAAGTTGCCGTAATGTGGCCCCATCAAAACTCTCGTTGCATTTTCGAATCTGATCGTGTCTTTTTGAGAAAGCAGGAATATGGACTAGAACGAGAATAAGAATGACTGGGTGTGCCAAAAGTGTGGTAATCGCGAGTGTACGCAGTCAAACCTAATGTTTTCTAATCTGGCGTTCCTCTTTCTTTTTGGTCACAGTGTAATGATAGAGGGTAATGTCTTCCCTAATAAGACCAACTATCATGGAGTCCTCAAAATTTGTGAAAAAACCACATAATTGTATGCTCTTCAAATCGATCAGACACGGAACTCTGGCACGCTACATTCAGCAAAAGGTCAAGAGGGCAAAACAGTACACTTATGTATACGGTTGGACGTTCAATGACAAAGAAACTATCTGAAATGGAATACAAGGAGAATAGAACGCACCATTGGTAAAAGGCAGTTTCTAGATATTTTTGAGATTCACTGTCCGTCATGGACCAAAAGCCGCATGAGAGCATCACTTCGGACATCTCGATAGACCAGGGAATTCAGTCCTATTGCCAAACTCCTGGAAACAGGAAATTTTCGTGTTCATCATTACATTTATCCGTTTATAAGTACTATTTTTCCTTCTTTATTCGGCAAGTTATTGTATTGCCTCTTGCTATGGTGAAATTGCAGCTACTATTGCGTCTTCATTTGATTCATTAATTCCATGTTCGGTTTTCTTGGAACCTGGGCATTTCGGATATTGTGTTGTTTCTTCTGTGCCATACAGGTTGTTATGGTGGAACACGTTTATTGGTCAACGTTTCGACAATTCGTCGTCTTCAGGACCTGAAACTGGTTCGAAGTCCTAGCTCTGTAGCTCACCCGGTAAGACGCCTAATCTTACAGAGTTCCCGGAAAAAGCGAAACAGTACAAAATAAACGATCCCAGCGAGCGAACTAACTTGTGGCGAGTCCACCAGTATTTGCAGCCTCCTCTTCTTGTTAGTGAGCGAATAAAATGAGACACCATGGACAGTAAGCGTCCTACGTGTCGTATGTGGTGATGATATGATTCATTAATTATACTCATATTTGTATTTTCCTTTGGCCTCATTGGAATGAGTTTTTGATTTCCTCGAACATCTCATATTTTGCCCCCCCCCCAACCAGGGTGTCCGTTCAGTTCTTATTTGTGTTGGTATTTTCTGCCGGTCGAGGTTGAAGGTTGAACATTTATTCAGTCGGCCTAACGTTTTGACGAAGTCGTCTTTCAAGGCTAAGGTCTAGTCAGCCTGAGTCTCCTGTTCTTTTAGTGTCTATAGAATTTGTGTTTTTGGCCTGTAAACCTTTTGATGCCCTTCGTCTTACTCACTTGCATAGTTGTTTAGAAACACGAATACGCACACTTTTTCATGTGCAACTGATTGTTACATTTCTTCTATTGTATTTTACTTCTTTTATTACTAGATTTCGTTTTCTATTTTTTGTCTTATTGATAATATAATTAGTTTCACCGTTCGTTCATTCCTATTGTATGTTTGGTCCTTAGAGTGTTTGCTAGAACTCTTCTTTTTTTTCAGAAGACTCCATGCTAACTAATCTACATAGAGGTGTGACCATGAATTGATTGTTGTTTTATTGTTTGTTCATTTTATTCAGAAAAGATTTTCCCAGTTTATTTGATATCTTAACCTACTTAGACAGTGACGATTGTAAGAGCTGTGGGGTGAGCTAAACAATCAATATCTAACTTGAGGTTCGTTTTTCTCCTCAATGCTCTGATCACGACTGCTGATTACAGGAGGCGGAGATGTACAAGAGACCATGCAGCGAGGCTTCTGGGAGAGAGGAAGAGGACGCACCACGGAGGACGGACCCCCGCCGACAACGCTGCGGACCGGAAGACTTCCTCACCAGCCTTAGGCCTGTCACCTTCTGCTGCCAGATACCTTCATTCCCAGGTTCCTCCCTTCGGCATATTCTCTGAATACGACATCGTCATTGTTGAGATTCATTGCTGCATTGCTAAGTGTATTTTGGATAAAAGTATTCCTGTAGTCTGAGAATAGTACACTATGAACATTAAGTCAATGAAATTCACCTCATTCTAATTCGATGTGAGACTGATTGTTTGTGTTATGTATACCAGTCACTGCTCTTACTCACTTATTTTATTTTATTCTCGGCTGGTCATGACGAGGAGCCCATCATAGAGCGTTGCTTACGCTCCCATGATACGAATAAGGTGGTCTCGGTTTGTTGTAGTTTGGATTGCAGAATGTTGTGGCACTGTTGTAAATTGCATGTGTTATTGTTAATATTCGCGAGCTGTGGACTCGCACCGGAATTCACAGTTCTCAAAGTAATGTATGAAAAGGGGTAGTCTCAAGGAAACTTGAATGTCCAATTCTCATCGTGACTAGAAAGTCTTGCTCTCCCAAGCAGAAGGAATCATATGTATACAAAAGCTACGTGAACTTTGGAATTTGGAGACGCCCAATGTGTTGCTTGGGATTCGCTTCCGGACAATTTCGGAGTAGCGCTGTCACATTTTTCAATGAATGTCCCCGGCCGCTTTTCTTCAAGAGAAGTGTCTAGCACATTCGTGTGTGTTGTGACTGAATAAATTAACAAATGAATAAGCTAAAGTATGAAATCGAAGCAACTGTTGTGCGCAATTCGAAAGAGGTTTGTTTTCAATATCCACTCTTCTTTTCATTCCAGCTGAGTTTTATGAAACGGCGGCGTGAAGCGTTGACCCTTCTGATGCAGCTGGTCACCAAGTGTGTACAACCGATCCCTCATTCTGGAGCAATGAACGATAAGTGAGAAAGGGGTTCGCGAGCACGCTACGCGATTGATTAAAATTGGCGTCGGTCCCATCTTCAAAGATCGTCTTCTACATCTTCTTCTTTGCTCGTATCGTTCATCAGGAAGCCCTAAGTAAAGATTTTTCAGAAGAAGAGTCACGAGTGAAAATCACGAAATCTTCGTTCGAAGTGAGGCCATTCGTCTCCCCAAGAGCTATGACGCAGAATTCAGCTTTTTTGAAGATGTCGGCGCTCAAAAGTATGAAGAGGCAGCCCATTGCAGCAGTTACTTTTTGATGGAACGGGAAAGCACACTCTGGAACGGGCAGCGACGATAAGCCCGCAGCAGCCTTCTCTTCACAGAACAGCTACGGTGCTTAAATTCCTCGGTAAGAGGACAAGAAAAAAGCTGTTATCTGAAAATAAAGAGAAAAAAAATTAGAAGGAACTAAGCCATCACCATGAGCAAGCTTCAGTAGAGCAGACATTCTCACTCAACCCGCAGATTCACTATAGTAGAGTAAATAGGCTCAACCCTTTGAGTCCTGAAATTTTTTCCGTAGGAAAAATTGCGCTATTGCAATTGCTTGTGCTTGTGAGCCCCTTGGCAACATTAAATTTGGAAGCTTTTCGATTATAAACTATAAAACGAGAAAGCCGTGAAAACTGACTCAGCTTCTTGGTTTGTTATTTTATGTCGAAAATGTTCCATTCTTAATTATGTCGAAAAAGTTTATGATCTTTCACAACATTATACCTCAATTTTTTGGTAACGAAGTGAATATACTTCAAATATTTCAGAAATGATCGAAATTTACCGAGCAGGTTGCTGAGACCAGCGCAGATGGTCAACCGTCACGTTGGACCAATTTCGAAAATTTTACGACCCCCCCCTCGCCCTCTGGAGGGCCTCGATACGACCCCCCCCAGAGCCAACTCCTCACGACCATCCTCCACTACCCTCGCCTGCCGGGGAGCGATTCTATAGTATCTGATTCTGAGATCAGTCAACACAGCCCAACTCCGCCCACTTTTCCTTCCAAAATTACCGTCGAGTGGGAGGGGGTATATGGAACGTGAAACGGCAAAATTTTCACACTCACACTCAACCCAAAAGCCCAGCCTACAAGAACCCACTATCCGTTCCATAGAAGAACATCCCTTCCTGTACTGTAACATTGACGCTACCTCGCGAAATACGACCTCCCTTTTCTACCCCCAAATACGATCCCCCACCCCCTCGTTGGACTTTGTCCAACAGACGGTTGACCCTGCCAGCGCCGATTCATTGGTTGCACTTGTAAACATATTTGGCTATCAGCAACACGCACTAAAAGGCGAGAGCAATACAAAATTCGGAAGGGAAATGTCGTCTGGAGCGACCTCAAGCAGCAGTGGGGGAAAGATGTCTGTTGCGTCGGTAATGCGGACCATTGGATTTGATGACGGCACTTGCCGCTGCCAGGGCCGAAAGTGTTTAAGGCAGTCATCACGATTCCCCTAGCGCGTTGAGGAATGCAGTCCATTAATGATACTAAATGGCGTCATCGGATCCGCCCCGCCCCTCAGCCATCGTGATCACTGTCTTCAAGTTGGTATCCTTTGTGAGAGAATGACATGGAGCTCTGGACAATTTGAGATCCAGACAGTTGGTGAAGGTGAAAGATTCGCTGGTAATTTTGAATATAACGCAGATGAAAGCGAAACAATGAAATTTGCACGAATAGGTGCATTTCCATCCATTTTGATATCTAGTACATTTTTCACTCGTATCATTTGAGTCCAACTTCTCTCACCAAGTGCCGGAATGCAACAAATAAAATGCAGTCCCGCTCTCCGAGCGTCTCGTTTGGTGTTTTGACCGCATTCAGTACGACTACATAGTTGAGCCTAGGATTGAGAACGCTCAATAGATGGCGTATTTTAGATAATGTATAGGAAAGAGGTTTTCCGGAGGATTACCAAAAGGCGATGCGCGCAGCGAAAGCATTTAGGTTGACCATCGACAGGAAGAGGTTTTCTTTGGTGATATTTTCCTATTTTACGCTTCAAATCATTCGCCGTGTTCTACCTTTCGACTTGGCAATTATAGCACCGAATGCTTCATCATGTAGTCGTCCATTTGCCAGATTTATTCGGAGCCTATTATGTATGTTTGTTCTAATCCAACAAATTTTGTGGTGGAAATAGCGGTGGTTCCCGTGCCAGCTAAATTCACACAATCCTTCAGATGCCCATTTTTACCTTCCATCTTGTATAGAACTGGTCACACTTCTTCACTTTCGAGAAATTGAGCATATTTATACATTTGATATTTACAGATGAATTCAGAAATATATTTTATAAAAGTCAGCTCGCACTGAAGGGTAACCTGTGCTCTAGTGTTCAAAAGAGGAGCATTGTCACCGAGCTCTACTCACTCCACCACTGTGAAAAAAAACCCACTGCAAAAGTCCGATGGGTTCTGAGAGATATTGTACGTTTTACTTCTATAAAATAATTTTCAGATGTTCCTTTCAAGATCTGAATAGCATCTGCGATAAACATCATTTTGGACACCTAATTCGAACTTTCTGTAGCAAACCTACTCCTTTCATTAGTCGAGTAAGACTAACATTGTTTCCGTTCTGAGGGTGATCGTGGGAACAATATTTCTTTTTCAAAGTGCTCGTATTCGGAGTTGGTGAAGATCGAAAGGTTGAGAAGGTGGTCGCATTTTTGTTGAAGGGTCGCGGTAGGGAGAAGGGATCGTGACAGATGGGTTCTTTGACGAGTTGTCGTCAAAAGCTTCACGAAAAAAAAGTATGAAATAGACAAACTTAGTGAATTTGCCGTTTCACAAAACATATTCGTCCCTTACTCGACGTTGGAGGTAAGAGGGCGGAGTAAGGTTGTGGTGTGGAGACTATTCACCAAATATCGTATAAACGGCCATGATGGTGAAGGGGGTGCTTGGAGATGAAGACGGAGGCGTCGTATGAAACCAACCCCCTCCCTCTAAGAGGGCGCTTATCAATGGGATTGGAATAACGAACGGTTGGTTTTACCAGCAGGTCGGTTTTGTTTGCGAAGACCTGTCGGAACCGTGTGAGCTGCATTCAGCACCTCGAGAACATTCAAGTGCTCACCCGGAAATATCGGTTAATCATAGCTCAGAAGAAAGAGTACCACTACTGCTACTACAATTACTGCTAACACTCTTACACGGAACGGTCAGTAGGTCGTTTAAAGGCAGAAATTACGATAGGTTCAAGAAACGGTTTATAGGAGACAGGTTGTGCTCAATGGGACGCCAGTGGCGAAAAAAAAAACGGAGAAACCCGTCAAGAAAACGCAAAACGGGACCCCCTTTTTAGCCGTCGGTTTTCACTCAAGAGGTAGCAGCTCAGAAAGCGGACATATTATTAAGTTGATTGTAATGCGTTTAGTGAGCGCATACCAATCCATGCTCCAGTCAAATTGCTTCAGCTGTGCCGCTGCTGGCAGCGTAGCTCGTCCAAACACCAAGTAAACTAGCGGGCAGATCGCTTTTGGGGGCGGAGTGCTTTCGAGGTCCTGCTCAGCAACCGGCGCACCGTTCGTCGTGGAGGCCTTGATTTCTTGGCAGCCAAGTAATTGCTTCGTGTGGTGTATATGTTTCCCCGATGCGTTCCTTCCTTATCGTAATCGAAGATGAGATGTATATGTGCTATACATGTGCTTCGAGACGCTAAGTTCAAATCTGCTTCTGTTTTGCGGAACGATTTTTTGAAGAAAGTCATGAAGCAGGGAAGCGTACCGGTAGGGAATCGAAATCAGGAGGTTTTGGAATCAACTACACTGCGGGTCCGTACTTTTGCTTATTTCAGAAATATAGCTAGAAACTTTAAAATAATTCTGGAAGGAGGAAAAGTACAGAGTCGCTTTAAAGTTGTTCCCGAGACCTCATGCCTGTGATTCAGAGCAGGATCAACCCTACGTTGTTACTAACGGGGGGTCGTACCTGGTTGAGTTTATAGGGGGAGTCGTATCCGCTTCAGTCGCGTGAAATTACATGTGAGTTTGTGGTGAAAGAGGATTTTTCACGAGTAGTAGGCTGGGTGAGTTGGGAGCGCATGGGAGGGAAATTCGCGCGTGCGTATATACCACCCCCCCCCCTCCCCGCTCGACGAATTTTGGAAGAAAAAGTGAGCGGAGTTTCGTGAGTTGAGTGGTACCAGAATTAAAATACTATGGATAGGATGATGGTGGTCAAGGTGTGGAAAAGAGGGAAAAGAGGTTCGTATCAAATGCACCTTGGGGGAGAGGGGTCGTAAAATTTTTCACAAAGTAACAACGATACGAACGACTCTGATTCAGAGTCACCAGCGCTGCGCTTCCCTGCTTCATAACTACTTCCAGGAAGTTGCGTTGCGTTGTTGCGCAGGTAACGAAAGCAGGTCTGAACTCAGCGTATCGTATACAGGCACACACCTCATTCTAATGGCCGTACTGTCCCTTGACCTTTCCTCGTTAGATGTCCTCTTTTGAGTGACCACGCAAGCGTTTCGATTCGGCAGCCATGTGAGGTGAAAGTTAATCTGTGCGAGGTAACTTCTGCAACAACCTAATATTACCAATATCATTTGAAGCACCATCTGCTTTTTCAACTTGTCTGAAGCATTTCGGGTTACACGCACAAGCCGCATTTAGCTCAAAATTACATTCGGTGATGAGCTTTAAGAGAGCCCTCTACGTTGTTCAAGAGAACAAGAATTTTCAGGTCCAGACGGGTGTGGCGAGGTTTTGCTTCCACGAGCGGCAGTCAGGACTACTACTACCTCTATTCGGGTCGAAAACTGTCGTAGTTAGAGACGTTGCCCGTAACAACTTTGTGTACTCTTTGTGCTTTCTTCTTTGGCCAGCAAGTGGAAGGCTCTTTTGGTTAGCTTAGCTCTTCGATAACTACATAACTAACTCTAACTATAAATAATTCTTCAACTAGGTGTAATTTCTCCACTCTCTCGTATATAGTCCTTCCTCGAACACTTTAACTCTGCACAAATCATCTGGGAGAGCTTATTACAAATTTAATCCTTTGTCGCGAGTCGCATTAGCCCTCCATCAATCAAACTCCTTGAATGTTGGCAGTCACCGGAAACGCTACCATTGAATGATGTTAAAGGGATAACAGGTCTTAGTGCCACAACGAACTGCAAGTTGGCCTAAGAACCAGGCAGTTGGCAGACGATTCAAGAGGACAAGGCAATGGATTCCATTTGCGAGACCTCTGTTGTCAAC